ACCCTATTTTCATACGGTTTACATTTAACAGTAACACTACGATCACCATATACAAGAATCAAAGTAATGGACCGTTCAGAATAGTCTCCGTAAAAGTATAATTTTACTTTAACCCCATTAATAATCTAACTAACTTCCCAATCCGGTTATTTACTGTACAGAGACGTCCGAAGTGTTCCGGTGTTCTCTGCTAGGATCACGTGCTTCCTTCCGGGAAGTCGATTTCTGTAGTTTCTTTCAAGCCATCGGAACCACTCATATAAACTAATATTGTCTTCAACTGACCGTGATGTCAGCAAAAGGGTTTTAAAAGGTAAAATTATCGAGTAGGATTTCAAGTAGTATTATTTCATATACTCAAACTGACAAAGTTACTCGTTCACTTACCGTATAAACCATTTCATAGTGAACGATTATTAACGAAACCTACGTATATTACTAAGTATCGTACAACCGATAATAATCAGGCCGATATAAAAAAGGGTGTTACGGTTTTCCACGCAATCATTATTGGATTTTTCGGAATTATAGTGTAGTATGCTCAAATCCCCACAGAATTGTCGACAAAATAAAAAATCTTTGTGTAGGAAGGGTTTCTCAATTCCCTTCGTTGCGGATTGACGGTCAGTCCAAGACCTCCCGGGTTGTCTGGCCTTTGGCCAAAGACGAACCCCCTCGTGTTTCCGTCGAAGAGGTGTCGACCTCCTCTTACTTTCGCCGATCCGGTTTACGAAAAATTACGTTTTGAGGGGGAGGTCGACTCTCTTATTCGGTAAGTCTTCACCGGTGTCTACGACCACTCTTTCTTCGCCGGATAATCCATGGACCTCGACACAAGGTGACTGTACTCAACGGAGACACGTGGGACACTGTTTAACTCCGGTGTTCTCTTTTAATAAAGGTACTGTCTCTCCGACCAAGTTTACCAATCACTTTCATTCATTTCATCTCACAACGGAGTGGACTACAGTAAGTATCTAAAATCAAGGGGAGTTTATTTCTTTAAAACACGACATGATATTGCTTTTATTTATTCCACTGTAGCACAGTCTCTATAGCGTTTCATTCCTGGATATTATGTTGAGTTTTGTTGTGTGTTTAGCTTTTACAATAGGCTACGCGCAAGCTAGCGGCCACGTTCAGCTAGCCTCCGGCTTTCCGGTCAAAGTTTGTAGCTGGATAGCATTTATAGTTTATACAGCTAAATGACATTAGCTGTCCCCGGCACAGTTGGATAGTGGAGGTGCCTGCTAGAAAAATATGTTTAAATGCTTGTATTTGCCCATGTGTTGTAAAGACAGCTTTCAACACAGAGTTGTAAAAGTGGAATCGGCGATGGAGTGGAACAAAAATGTGGACCTGGAGTTTTTCCAGAGGATTTGACTGGCCAGTGGGGACATTGGGATTGTTACATTGTACAATTTAAATATATAGTATAAGATATATAAATTATTATAGAGTAATGCACAGATTAATTATTATTGCACTCTCTTAATTTTGTGTATTGTTTGTATATTATGTCTGTATTGTTTGTGTGCCATGTCCCTCATAATATAACAATATGCACAGTATAAATTATACTAAATTATTATTGCATAATAGAGTAATGCACAGATGTTACTGTTATTCTAAATAATCCTAATCATGTTTTTATTTTTCCTGTTTTACAGAACCAATAAACGAATAGATTTTCGGGGAGTGGACCGGGAGTACCTGTTTCGGAGCGATTAGTACGGACGGTTACACGTAGGACCGAGTAACCCTAGGAGGTTCTAGGAGTGAAGTTCAAATCCCTGTACCGTTATGTTTCTCTCTCACTTCACTAATTTTCTCTTTACTTCTCTCCATAACTTTTTCTCTTCCACTCTTCACTAACCTTCTCTTCACTCTCTCACTATCTCTCCTGTCACTCTCTTCTCACCGAGAATTTTCACGGCAACCCAAATATACACACCAACACACCCCCACACCCAACCACACACACATACACGCAACGCACGCACGCACGCACGCACGACGCGCGCAAGCACACACACACACACACACACACAGCACACAACACACACACACACACACACACAGCACACACACACACACAACCACCTATACACACCAACCACTATATTCA